GGTACTTTTTTCCTAAATTGGTTTGAAAACCACGTAAAAATCTGGCTCCAAAAAGCTTTCAAGACAGGGCAATGCCAAAATAGATGTGCAAGGAAACCTTCACCGATATTACATCTGTCACATACGGGGGATACAGAATTATAGATCCGGTTAAGTTTAAGTTTAGAAAAGTGTCATCTGTGAATGACTTTAAACTGGATTAGTTTATATCTGGCGTTTACTGAGCCTTTCTGAATGTTGGACAAACAGTTTGACCGCTGGTCCTCAGACGGGAACACCAAGGTCTTCAGCCCATGAATGTCTTAATTTGATCAGAATCAGCTGGGATTGTAAAGCACTTCACAAACTGAGATATCAGATGTTTAAAATCTGCTTTCCGAATTATATCAGTATGACTTAGTGGCTTCAGTGGAAAGTTTGAAAAGTTTCGTTGAACAAAATTCCTTATTTGAAGATAACAAAAAAAATGTGATTGAGGTAACTGAAATCCCTTTTCCCCCATCATTCTAAAAACACCCTCTCCATTTTACCTGGTTTAAACACGTAGTTATGTATTATCGGCATTCTAACTGAGAAGTCTGGTAGTTTAAGAGATTTCCTAATGTGACTTAATATCTTTAAGGACTGTTTAACAACAAAATTACGACTGATCGAATTATTAGAAGAACCCGTGTTAGAAAACAATAAGACCAGTAATGAGGCTTCAGATACTGTTGCTGCCTCTACCTGGAGTCAGACAGGAAGCTTATAACAATAATCAGTAGGTGGACCTCACTCCCAGTGCAATAGAGCTCTTGAATTTGCTGCCCAGTAATAATGTCTAAACTCAGGGAGACCCAACCCCCCACTGGAAGTATTTTTTTGAAGATGAGCCTTGGATATCCGAGGGTTTTCCTGCCCAAATGAAAGAAAGAATCAATGAATCAAGCTGCTTAAAAGCTGCTTAAGTGGCAAATAAATATGAAGGTTTTGAAAAAGATATAAAAATCGTGGCAAAGACACCAACTGCATTTATTCGACCAATCAGAGAGGAAGCAGTTTCCATTTTCTAATATCGTCTTTGAGCTTGTACAGCATTTCCAAGAAATTCAATTTATAGAGGAGTTTTTAGAGATCTTAAGGCCAAGGTAGGTAAAAGATGTAGTCACTAATTTGAATGGGAGTGAGCTGAGAAACTGTGGGCATAGATTATCTGTTATTATAATTCAGATTTGTCCCAATTGATCATATATCCTGATAATTTCCCAAAGTGTTTAATGCAATTTAAAAGATTAGGGAATGAAATTTCTGGTTCGGAAAGGCAGATCAATAAATCATCTGCATACATATTAACAAGACTTTCAACATTCCCAAATGTAACTCCCTGTATACCAGGGTGGTTTCTTATGTTAATGGCAAGGGGCTCCAGAGCTATATCAAAAAGAAGCGGTGAGAGGGGATCCCCCTGTCTCACTCCACGCTGTAATTGAAAGGGGGAGGATTTATCTGCGTTAGTGAGAATGCAGGACACAGATAAATCATTTTAATCCAATCCCTAAAATATTCCCCAAAACCAAATTGTTTTAGAGTCTCAAATATATAAGACCATTCAATCTGCTCAAACGCTTTTTGGGCATCCAGAGAAAGTCCTGCTGTTTTAGCCTCTTTTCCATAACCTGAGTAAATTGTATTTAATAATAAACGGACATTATTAAATGACCATCTACCAGGAATAAATCCTGTTTGATTAGGATGAATAATTGTTGAAATATGTTTGCTCAATCTTGTAGCTGAGGCTTTGGTTATGATTTTATGATCACAATTGAAAAGAGCAATGGGTCTATAATTTGCTGGGTCGCCTTCCTCCTTTCCAGTTTTGTGAAGCAAACAAATATTTGCCTCGTAAAGTGAAGTTGGTAACCTTTTATTTTTAACGGAGTCATTTATCATCCTAAGCATGAGAGGAGTCATTTTATTTTGAAAGGCTTCCGGGCCAGCTGTCTTTCCAAGTGGTAAGGCTTGGATTGTTCTTAAAAGATGTTTTTCGGAGATAGGGGAATCAATTTCCTCTCTCAGGGTTTCATCTATGGGGAATAGATAATTGATCAAAGAAGTTGCTAAAATCACTCTGAGAGGGTTTAATTTTACTAGAATACAGATCTTTATAGAATTTGGTAAAACAAGTATTAATTTCCTTTGGATTGGTGCTTACTTTACCGGATTTTATTATCACTTTTTGAATTGCATTTAGGTGTTTTGAATAAATTCGATCTCAAAGTTGTGATGGACCACCAGTAACCTGGTAGATGTTAAGATGTCACATAGTTAAGTGCTGCCACAGTCTGTTATCTTTCTTCTCCGCCCTGCTGCTCTGTTCCAGGTGGAGGAAACCACCCACTGCTGGTTCCGTACGACACATTGACTGCCAAAGAAAAATCCAAAGACAGAGAAAAAGCACAAGATATCCTTAAGTTCCTCCAAATCAATGGTTACATTGTGTCCAGGTTGGTCCAACTATATTTGAATCAGTTTGTCTTTGGCGTTTGTTTTCAGATTAGAAGATCAATTTCATAAAAGTTCAATTTTTCTAAAACTCAGAAAATACAACATTAGTGTGTGTAGTCCAGCGCTGGAGTGTGGATTTGATTTAACTTAACAAAAGCAGTGTACAACACATTTAAAAAAAGTTGAGAAATGCAAATAAAAGGAAAATATCCTTTGTGCTGATTCCAGAGGTGTGCAGTCACAGGAGCTGGACACTCCTGCCATAGAGAAACGATTTGCCTACACCTTCCTCCAGCAGATCATCACCTACGTGGACCAGGCACACCAACACATGATGGAGTTTGGTAAGAATCTTCTCATGCATGTAAGAGCCACTTGTTTACGTCACCAACCTGGTTGTTGTCCATGATACAACAACCATGATACTTTTGCCTCATTCGGTGAAACAAGTTTGTCGTCCTCTTTTAGCAGAAGCGTTTTTTGTTTTTTGCATATTTTGCCAAGTACAATGCTTTGATGAAGGTTGTGGAGGTAGCTCTCTCTTTAGATACTAAATTGTCACTGGAGGCTAAAACAGTCTTGGGGTCTTGCTCTGAGACATTCCCAGATTTTTCTCTTTTGTTTTTCACACTAGGAAACGTGAAGGCATGGTGTTGTTATAGCACTGATATAACATTATGACCCTTTTTTATTTGGAGTTTTTACCTGGTTAGATGTCGGGCTGGGTTTTGTATGCAGACAGAGTTGCAACCTGTTTGTAAGGAGGTAGGTAATCTATAAGACAGTGGACATGACAAGACGGTGGTATGCTGAAAATTTCTCTATATTTTTCCTCCCTGTCCCGGATATGAACATCCTCATCATTGAAAGAGTGTCCACTGGCCTGTAGGTGTAAATAGGCTGCAGAGTCCTGGCCTGACGAGGTGGTTCTGCTGTGTTGTGCCATCCTCTTATCCAGAGGTTGTTTTGTTTCCCCGGCAATCCTCCTGCACTTAACAGCGTAAATGCGTCTCAACTGTTCCGATACTCCTGACACATATGGAATCACTACAGGTTTTCGCTTAGTCAGCGGTTGTCCTTCTCTCCTGGATCGGCTGGAGCTTTCTTTTGGAGCCTTCCCAGCATTGACAAAAGTCCAGCTGGGATAACCACATTTACTCAGGGCCTTCTTGATGTTCTTCTGCCTCCCTGGCTGCTGTGTCAGTGGGGATGGTGTTCGCTCTGTGTTGTAGCGTCCTGATGACGCCCAATTTGTGCTCCAGTGGATGATGAGAGTCAAACCTTAGATACTGATCCGTATGTGTAGGTTTACGGTACACGTCAGCTTTCAGATGTCCCCCATTACTGATGGAAATCTCACAGTCTAAGAAGGCTAACCTGCCACTTTTTATATCCTCCCTGGTGAACTTGAGTGGACTGTGGTACGTCCTGAGATTTGATTTTCACCCAGGTGTCATCCTCAGACCTGAACCAATGACTTGGTGGTGTTCCAGGGTAGGATAGCAAAGCCCTCTTTTCCACTTCTTCCATATAAACGTTGGTCACAACGGGTGAAACAGGGGAACCCATGGCACCCCATGTTTCTGCCTGTAGTACTGACTCTTGCATGAAGACACAGTTCCAAAAGCAAACATACTTGGTTGGTGCTGAGAGTGACCCTGTTGCTGAGGTTGGGGTCAATCTCTTACAAACTACCTCCACTGCTTCAGTGGCTGCAACACAACTAAAGAGAGACGTAACCTTATACGAGACCATTGGTTTATCTGCCCTGCCCAAACCAGTGTTCCTCCAGGGAGGTCAAGGAGCCATTTACAAAAAGGAAAGACCATCTCTGAATCCAGGAGGAAGCCTAAGAGTACATCTTTCACCATCTTAGAATACTGTGATTGCAGCCATTCTCCAACTCTC